AGTGAAAAGCTCCACTACATCGATCTTCATTTAGAAAAAACAATTTTCCATCATTTTTATCGATCATATTGGATCCTCCATTTTGTTTTTAAAAATTTCACATTCTCAATTTACACCCCCAAAACAAACTAGTTCCCTCCTCTCGGAACCACCTATTTTGGTAAGGGGTAAGTAGGGGCAGTAGATGGTAGTTGGTTGTCACATGTAAAAATTATTCACGTTTCCTTTTAAAAATAGCGTCTTAGGAAATAATTCATGGGACGTCTGGCACACCTTCAAAGTTTAGATTACCTATTGCTAAACATTCCATGACTCTAGGACAATTCCCCTAAAAGTAGTTCAAAACCTCAGAAGTGGGCCTGGACGGACGCACAGATGAACGGACAAACCGCAAACAATAGCACATTTTTTAATTCTTAAAAAATGCGCTAAAAATTTGTTGTACCTAAACTATTACGAGGCTATATTGACCCTAGCTTGAATTGTTCGACACATTTGGATTATTTATCCATAACCCTATGTAGTAAAGTTTCATTTTAAACTTTGAAAACGGGGTCCTTTAATGTTTTCATTGTGTTCCAGTAGTTACTAAACGAATATTTGCTATTCAACGCCGTGTTGTCAGGGTGATTGCCAAGCTAACTTTTAGGGAGTCATTGGTCCGTCATTGGAAACATCCTCAAAGTACAAAAAACACACGTAATCACCGTAAGTCTGAGAAGAAACGCTTCAAGTTTTCTAATCGGGCATTGCGATTATTTACTCATTTAAATTACTTTCAATTTTGTTCTACATGGGTACTACGCAATCACATTTTGGCATGTATGTAACAAAGGTAATTTTCTACTGCCATTTCTTTATTTTATTATTTACAAAAGTATACGTTTCGTCGATGGCAACGTAAAAAGCCTGAAAAAATATTGTGCCAATTTTGGGCTAGTGAAGCTTCTCTACGATAAACAAGAACTTTGGTTTAGGCGTGGAAGTTTTTTAGTACCTATCGTATAGCTTAAAACCTCGCAGGAAAGGTAAAAATATATGAGTGGAAAACCTCCTTTGCTTTATTTGCATGTACATTTGTTGTTTTGTTAAAGCCGAAAACTTCCTAGCGAATCCTACATTTCCTCTATTAGTAAATAAAGAAAATCCACTAAAATTTTCATGACTTACACTCTTTGAGCTCAAAAGCACTATAAAATACAAATTAAATTTTCAACAACTTGTCGTTTAGCGACGTAAAAGCGAAATTTCCTTACTTGAAGGTAAACATTGCCTCCATGAAGCAAATGAAGACGTAAGCAAGAAAAAACATGGCGACTCGTTAAATTACACGGATTTAGGGGCAAACACCTTTACTTTAATTTCTTTGTATATTCCGACGGAACTGATGAAATAAAGAAGTAACCTTGCTAAAATACAGGCAAAGGAAATGAATTTGTGTTTAATCTTGCATACTAATTTTGTAGACGTGAAAGGAAATTGAATTGGGAAGAATTCCAATAGAAGTAATCAGTTATCTTATTTATAATTAAATTATTTTTCACGCTAATTGAATTTATGTAAGAAAGAAATTGAATTGTTTACATTCACGTTCATTATTTATTTAACAACGTTTACTTTCCAAATACTATGTTGATGTATTAGGAGAAAAGCAGCGATGTGCACACGTTAAGGTGGAAAATAGCTATAATCCGTAAGGGAATATTTATTTAATGTGAATGTTTCACAGTGTAAACTTTCAATATTGGGTTTAGTTATTTATTAAAAAGGTAGTTACGGAAGCGACTAAACCTTTCAGCTAGATAGAAAGCTCAATTGGATGGTATAACTATAATTAATACCTACTTTGTATGGCATTATTTATGTTCATTTTCAAATGAAACACTAACTACGTAACAAAATCAAAATGTAAAATGAAAAAAATAAATGAAAATGTTTGCATGGCAACGACTCCATTTTGTGATATATTTCATCTTCAAGATCATCAAAGATGACCGACCTCATTTTTTTTAGATCACCAATTCAAAGAACCTTTGTACTTGTTTAGTGGAAGCCCACATTCATGCATGTGGAATAATATTAATTATACCATGGATAGTGTACGCTGAGCACTTGTGGCCAAAGTAAAGCGATAGCCGTATAGAGAGAATCGTAACTCAACTTTATGTAAAATTCCATATGGCGAAATTTGGGTGCCGTCTAAGTTATCTCGCTGTCCTCCTGACGAAGACTTTCAATACTAAATAGAGGTCTCAAAGGGGTGATCTTTAAAATCTCGTCCATGTGAAGTCCAAAGGTTGATCGCTGTTCAAAGGTCAAAAATTGGTGTAAATTTCAAAGGTTGCTCGCCATTTAAAGTCCTCAGCTGGGTCGTCGGTCAAAGTTCAAAGGTTTCTCGACTTTCAAAGTAGGTAACGGTTCAAAAATTCCTCACCCAAGGTGATAATGATCTTGGGGTGTGAGATTAAGGTGAACTTAAGTTTCCCTTCTTGCGTGGTCTTTAAAAAGTAGTTCAAGCACTAGGCCGCGACCCAAAAAAATCTCAACATTTTATCGTTTGAATACCTCCTTATCCGTGACAATTTGAGAATGACATAAAGACTACATATTGTGCTGAACCTCCCTGGGTTAAGAGAAAAATAGACATTTGGTTTAACCAAAGTTGAAGTGTGCTTTATCATCTACTCTTGGGAAAATATAGATTCATGTGAAGTATGCTTTCTCTAATTTATTCTACTATTGTTGTAACGAGAGAGGTTTAGATTTAATTTTTTTCGATTTTCACGCAGAAATAAGTAAACTCGAATTTTTAATGCTAAAGAAATAGTCAAGATTCTTCGCAGAACAAGTATTATTCATGATGATGTAAAGAAACTATCTGGATAATTGCGGTCACCGAAATTTGAACCATGTTACACTGATGGTTTTCAATGGGTTGTTTTTTTAATTGTCTCCAATTGTCAGTCGCGCCTTGAAGTCTGTTTGTTTGGTCAAATTAGATGTACTATGATTAGATGATATAGTAGTTCATAATTTCTTTTTATGTTTGACGGCCTTAAAGCCGTTCGGGATCCGTGGTACGAAAAATCCTAATCCACAGAAAATTAAGGCATAGCCATTTTGAAGCCGCCATTTGCGGGTGTGAAAAAATTACGAAGAAACTAAGGGGCGATTAGTCCAAATGAATGAATTAAGCTCTGAACATCACAGCTACCAAAAGTACGCAGCATTTTCTCGAGTTTGTTAGCGATAAAAGGGTCAAAAGGGTCGAAAAATTCGGAAATTCGGCCGCTTCGTAACTTCGAAATTTGGTTCCTTTGTAACTTATGGATAAGAACTTAAGCAAAGCCTTATACAGTTTGCGCTAACAAAATACCCTTCCGCAAATATTTAATAATCAATAAAACTCATTTAAAGACACTGATTTTTGAAATAAATGTCCGTACAAACATTTCAGTTGTACGTATCTACATATGAAACAATTTTGTTAATTTCACACTGTTCTATACTCGCTTTATGTGAAAAGTATCTAAAATGTACCACCATATCACAGAGCATCTGCTGATGATGGGTCGTTTCAATTTCCTGGAGATTGCTTTCAGTTATGCAAAAGAACAAGCCCTTTCTTGGTAGTCCCAGAAAGAATCACAAACGGATAGCTGGAGGAAATCACTCCATGACTGTCGCTTTGAGTAAACGCGACGGTTCTTACTTGGACCCCCGTTTAAGATACTCTCAAGCTAGCTCTGGTTCGAAAAATTAAAAAAGGGTTCTTTATCCACAAAAACAATTGCCATCGTTTCCTGTTCAAATACTCCTAAAAAATTCCCTTACTAATTTCTGCTCTGCTATAAAACCCTTGGTTTGCAAATTTGTCGATCAGCCAGCAGTGATTTTGATTTCTTCCTCACTGGGGCCTTTCTGGCCCCATTGAAATTGTTTTGGCTATACTATATTGCATGAAAGAAAGGTTAACCGTTATTACTGCGAAGTTCGGAATACTAAATGTTGGTTTTCCTGTTTAGCGAAAATCTTTATTACCGCTCTGAGTTGAAGTGGCGGACTTATTTACCAAGTCGATTATGGAATCAGCTGATTACACTTTTAAGATACATGAGATTTTTAATGTTATAGTGTTAATTTCGCCTATATTATTAAATGAAAATCGATTATTTCAATAAGATGTGCAATTAGTTTTAAACGAGCCTTAGACTATACAACATTAGCATAACGGAGTATAACTGACAACAGAATTGGTTTCTCTCTTGATCTTATAAAACAGCTTAGAAACTGGGATTAAGTCACGTGCGACCAAGTTTACATTCGAATAAATTTGTTAGGATGCAACGGTAAGTTAAGGAAGAGCTTAAAACAAAATTCTTCGCTATAATAAATGAATAAATTTTGCGGTTAAACCAATACCGACAGTAGAAAATTAATTTATAACGTGACAAGCAATAAAACCATCACACACGCCCAATAAAGCAACAAGTAAGTTATGGTAAAACGGTAATATTGAATTTTCGAGCTGCTTTAAAGGTGTAATAGTGCAATACGTTTGCACCTTTCATTTGGCGTAAATTAAGGTCTTTATAGGATTTCACAGTATTTTAATGAAATTGCCAGTCGAGTAAAGAGGCGGACTATTTTCACATACTCGTTTTAGGTCAAAACTTGGAAAGCGCACGCTTTCAGGCGGTGGATGTCAAAACGTGCAGAAACTTCGAATGTTCTTACTACTTTAGAATTCCCTTTAAGATGGCGAGACAAGAATAAATGGAAAATAACATACTAAATACCTTACTACAAAATAAAAATGCTTCCGGTTTTGAGTTTCAAATTAAAACATTTAGAGGGAAGAATTCTCTTTTTACATGCAAACGGAAATAGGATTATTATTGCGGAGGGTATATTGCGGCAATAACTATTTGCGCTTCCTTCATGTATAAAGATAACGTTTCAACTCTAATATTACCATAAAAGAAATAATACGTACTTACCCCCACAGTATAAAAACACTTGTATGAAGATTGCGATCAAAGTTTGTAGTAACATCTTGAGCGTTTCAGGTCAGACTTTTCTTAAGCAATCGAGCTTAAAAGTTGTAATCATTACCGCACAGTAATTAGATTCTAAATTAACATTTCTAGAAGCACCGAGTGTTATTGAGCAATTCCAGGCTACCTGCAACAGAAAGAAAAAATCTTGTGTACACTGTTAATCTCAAAAAAGTTTCAAAGATTCATCAAAAGCAAATTCAATAGCACTCAAACGGATTTACCTCCCACAAAATTTATCAAATGAAATGTAGGATTTCAATTTTCTTTACTTTAAAGGTGAATTTTACGATAGCGTATGTGCTTATTTGCCCACGTTATGTTCGAAGGCAGGGAAATATTGCCCTTTAATTTCAAGCGGAGGTGACTTATGTAAATACTGTGACTGGCACAAAAATGTATTATGTAACGACAGCGTATTTGCGGTCGCGCCCATCAAATTAAATTTGCAATTTAAAAGCTTCCGAAAATCAATTTTGCAAATACAACACATCGCATATTTTGTTTATTAATGTAAGCATCAAGAAGGGCAATCTACATATTGCTTGGGGTCTAATAATTTCAAAAATGAATAAATGTATAAAATAGACATAGGTAGCAGTTTTGTTTTAAACTACCATTAGTGGTGGTTTTTAAGCAACACGAATAATGCCATAATCGACTCTCTGTGGCGTACTAGAAAGACGACTTCTAGTCGAGTGCACCGACCAAAATTTCATGGTTACACTCTGCAAGAACTAAATCTAAATTTACATTTGATGCATTTTTGTAAGTCTGCTAAGAACAGAAATGTGCTGCAACCAATTGTTGAAAAGAAGATCAACGTTGCTATCTCATTCGACACTAGATCAACAATATCCGATTCATACAATGAGGGAGTATTAAAGAGCGCCCGGTTCTAAGTATACCTCTAACAAAGTCCTTCAAGCAAATCCTCCCAGTAAAGATGAAGACTAATAGCTAACATCGAGTACACATTGCTTCCTGAGAAGGGCACTGAGATGTCAGGCATCGAAAGAGCAAAAGCGGCTGCACTAGATACTTAACAATTTTATGGGTTATACACCTAGGCACAGAATCCGTACATGATGCATATTGGGAAGTATAAAGTAGCTGATGTACCAAAACAAGCACTTTTCCCCAATAACCCACAGGTTGAAAAATTTATTGCTTGGGTCCAAAATTTGCGTAGGTATCTTCTTTGATTTTTGTTCTCTTCAACAGTAGTTGATAGGGGGATTGAACTGGCGGATTTAACTAAGTTTTTGTTTTCTTTCTGAATTGGAAATAAGGTTAAAATTCCTATTCCAAGATGGGTGTACCCCTAAATAGAGGATTTTTTCTAAAACCAAAAAGGGAATATCTCTACTAAGCAATTCTGCTAATACCATGCAAAATTGGGGAAAAAATTGACCGGATTATACAGTATAACTGTGGAACAATATCAAACTAAGACAAAGATCATTTCCAACTTCACGTTTTATATGTAAGTTATAGTAGACGCTCCGAAACAGAAATGAACTTCACCTATCTGCTTAATGGATGAAAAATCTTTCATATCAAATGCACTCATTAACGAATCAACCGAAAATATCTAGCAAACGTTGGGCTGTCTGTTTTTTCCGGGAAGTTGGCAGGTATAAACAGGCTTTGCCATAACCGTGACAAGTTCAGCCATTGGTTTTTCACCGTCCGTGTTTGACTGTTTTGAGTGAAGTCAGTAGTGTTAGAATAAATCGACGAGTTCGAGTTGACGAGAAAATTAAACTACTCCAGGGGTAGATTTATACGCCGCCTAAATAAGGAAAAGTGTACATTTTTGTATTTTTATTCAATACGGACTGCAACCTTCAAGGAATTTGACGAGTAAATTTTGATGTGTATAAAAGTAGATATTCGGAATTTTTCCATTGTTCATTTAAGGGGATTGTTTAACATAGTGAAACAGAACGTGGGCACTTTTGGATATTGGATATTTCAATGAACAAGAAATTAATTTTTTGGAGTCCTTTAAAGGAAGATGGAAACTGATTTTCAGTATATGTATGTAGGTAATATTTTGATTTTGTGTATTTATTTGCCATAAAAGTGGTCGAAGGTAATCACCTCGTAGTTTTAATTTTTATAAATAGGGAATTTTGTATTACTGTTTTAACCGTTTAATCAAGATGTTTCTACCTGTTTATTCAATGCAACGTAGCGATACATTCCGTTCGATATTAATTTTATTTGCTTTTTAAACAAACCGAAAGCACTAACAAATAGAGATGAAACCGCGTGAAGCAATTAGACTTTTTATTTTGTACCTAAATTATACAAAGCAAAACGGCCATACATATAATTGGATAATTATTAATTCCGTAAATGGAAAATAAGGATCACAAAGAGCGAACTCGTGCCTCGATATGAACCCAGAAGATATAATTCGTGTATCCGAAATGTTTATATCCGCACCGAGTACATTCAAAGGCAAGTAAAGATAAGGAAGTGCTCTCTAAGAAAAAAAGAACATATAACGCAGATTGAAATTTTACATTAAAACACAGATGGGACCCCGAAGCATTCCCCATAGTAGTAGTAAACAGCTTCGTTCGAAATGAACATTGCCACCGATCTCAAGAGAAGCGCTGAAAAACACTCCTTGCCTGTTTATGTTGTGTACACTTTGAAGTTGCTCCAAAAATTATTTAGTTATTATGCTCGCGCCAAAGCAGTTTCTGCACAATTATTTAAATTGCAATTCTCTCAATTAGCTACCTACGTTTTCGCTTCAAAAAGAAAAGCAAGCTCGGATGGTTCAACTTTACTAATTTGTCGAATGTTCGAAATAAATCCATTACCGGCATAAATGGGAAAGATAATGAAATTCTGAAGATAATTTCATGCAAACACTGAAAATGGTTTCGTAAATCTAATAAACTATTTATTAAGTTCTATTTACACTATTAATTCAATGAACGTTCCAGCAATGGAAATTGAATATGAATCCACAAATGCAAGGGCAAAAGCATTTGCCACGCCGCTAAGAGCGTAAGTAGTGCCTTAGATGCATTCCAAAAATATTTACACGCGAGTGATTGCGATCTAAAACGTAATTAGCGGCCTCCACTAAATTAAGGGCTTGATATGTTTGATAAGTTAAACCAACCGAAACATAAATGTCATCTCAAATTACTGGAGACAGTTAAAATTAAATTTTTCCATTTTTAGACGTAGAGAAGACATTCCGTTCGCCATTAAATTGCCGTATGAGCCTTTACAGCACAGTATTTCTTAATAAAGCCGTTTCATATTGTCCTTGTACAGGATTACAAACCTGACCTATATGGTTCATAATGTTACCGAAACAGCGACGTATAAACATTTATTGTGGATCGTAGATAATATTATATTACCGCGGTTATGGAACTTTGAAGTAATGTAACAACTTAATAGATAATTATTGCAGGTTTAAGTATCTATGGAAGATCAGCGCGTCAATTTATTGGAAATTGGATGCTGTAGCGCTCATACCGCCAACAAAGGCCGGGGTTTATGCGGTGGTAAATTTGAAATTGCACACTTTTGCCTCAGAATGTTTCAATCACGTGCTCGTAATGAATTTAGTTAATGGAGTCCTTTCCAATTTTAAGCGTGAGATAGACAATGCAATAAATGCATCCCTCTTTGATTTCAACAGTAGACATTGTCACATCAGACTCATTAATAAATCCTTACAATGATATCCAAAATTATCACTGATGCATTTTTTTGAGGTTAATATTTCTTACTCAAGCTTAGGATTAAGTAAAAAATACATAAATTGACGTTGTACCTATGTGGAATGCCAATGACGTTGTCTTCTAATTATAAAGTGGATTGGAAAACGTACAAAGAGCAAAGAATCTGGCTTGTCACCAATGAGGGGAAGTGCAATGTTTTCCAACCACCAAATAGATTTTCCATGTCACTGCATTACTGGATCAAGAATTCCATCTATATGCTTGCGGACTAGCAAAATAGGTGATGTAGCTTAAAGTTTACAGAATCAGTAGAAACTATTCTAGTGGAAAAGAGTTTTTAAAAAACATGCCGAAAACTATCACCTGTCACGTACAATAAAGGCGTATTGATCCTCTTGACGGTGATAAGGGTTTCGTTACCGGTGGCTAATGGTTGGAGAGCAGTTTATTCATTTATTTTTGGATGGAAATTTGAAATGTTGGAGTATTCGGAAGGCAGTAGAAATGTTTTCTAATATTATGGACCCCTCTTTATGAAAGGAAATTTGAGAAGATGACATGGGAATTTAAAGGAAACTTAAGGGAGGTTGAAGGAAACATGAGGGAGTTTCAATGAAAACTTAAAGAATCGCATGAGGTGAGCACTGAGACGCTTGAGAGTAGTTTATAGGATTGAGAAAAACTAGAGGGGAACGGGTAAATGAAAATATTTTGACCAGTGTCAAGTTAGAACCCCACTTTTTGAATTTTCAAAATATTTGTATGCCAATCGTTTGTTAGGCATTTGTTAGTCGTTTGTTAGTTACATTTCGACGTTTGTTGGTTGACCGTTATTTAATTATTTAAATTTCAAAATTTGAGCGTATAGTTAACCCCACACTTTTGGAAATTTCAGAATATTTTTATTTGAATCGTTTGTTGGTCGTTGGTTGGTGTTTGTTAGTTACATTTTCACGTTTGTTGGTTGATCGTTATTGAATTATTCAAAATTCAAGAAATTGGGCGTATAGTTAGCCCTCCACTTTTGGAATTTTCAGAATCTTTTTATTTCAATCGTTTGTTGGTCGTTTGTTAGTAAGTAAGCAAAACAAGAAGGACCGTGGATGTAACGACAGACGTAAAACACCGCTCGTGTTAGGTACCCTGCCAAAAAAGTCCAGGCTTTCTGGGACAACCATTCGCCGAATTATTTGCCACCATTTGAGGATGAATAAAATTAGGTAGTGCACGCAAACAACTCTCGGCAGTTCCACGCCAACGACGCGTCGAGTTGAATGTGCTCGATCACTTTTGGCGATCTGGGGTGAAACCCTTTCTACCTGATGGAGAATTGAAACTGCGAATGAAACTATGATCTAATGTCCAAGAGAGACTCAATGGAATTGAAAAGAAAAGGAAAAGCGCCGTCGATAAAGTTCAAAGTTTGTCAGTTTACAAGAAAGGTGATGGCTACGATTTTTTTGGGATTGCAAGGACACTCTCATTGATTTGAAAGAACGCAAGATCACAGACAACGAGGACAATTATGCAACCCTCCCTCACAAGTTATGGCAGACTATTTGGAAGCAAAGTCGGGGGAAATTGGCGTCTTACGTTGCTGCATTCACCCTCCGCTCGACCCTTTGGTTGTAAGATGAAATGCAGACGAAATTGAGAAGTGAACGTGAAAGTAAGTAGAGGAGAACTTAAGGCACGAAGCGGTGCCTACTTTAGAAGAATTTGAGAGTAAACGAAATTTGAAACAAAAACAGCAGGAAATCACAATAATTTGTAACATAAAATAAAATATACACGTGGGTATAATACATCTCATTTTAAACAATACGTATACCTTGGGGCAACCCATTTTCTACATTACCTGGTAATACAAAAGAAATGAAAGTTCGACAATTTTTTATGCTATGTACTTATTTACGTGTAAAAAAACTATTGCGATCGGTTTGCCGAAATTTGTATTGCCTACGTTTACACCGACAAGAGCATGACACCACTTAAATCCTGTTGCACACAACAACAAAAAAGTATAAACTATGCACAACTCTTATGCAGATAAAACGCATTTTTTTAAACCGATATAGCTTAGTAAATGGTTGGGTTATAAGGTAGGAGCGTTCTATATTTATCGATATGTTTATTTTCTTGATAGATAATTAATCGGAAGGGGGCTCTTTAGCCATAAACATTTAAAGGCCGCCGGGCATACATTCAAAATCTACGCCATCTAATGCGAGAAGAATCAAGCGCCGAAATATTGCATTTTCCCTTTACCTAACCTTTCTTCAACATTTTCGAGATATTAATTAAGTTTAGACGATCTTTCCGCCGTTTGAGAGTACTCTTCTCAGACACTCCGTTCTGTAGATAATGTTTCAACATCACCAATAGATTTGTCTCGTCCTGACGCTTCACTTGTGCTTTATGAGTCCCCCCTTTTCCGACACTTTGTGTTCAAGATATTAGATTCGACTTCACCAATAGATATCTCTCGTCCAGACGATTTATTTTGCCTTTGAGAGTACTCTCCTCCGACAAACCGTTTTCGAGATATTCGTGACCATTGGAGATATATCGTCCAGACGTCCCAATCGCCCTTTGTGAGTACCCTTCTCCGGCAATCTGTTCTTGAGATATAAGGAATTATATCCAATCAGGGGTCGAGAAGGAGGCCTATAGTTGGTGGAAATTAATTCCCGTCGTTGAGACCTTTCATTAGAGTACCATGAAGGATAAAACCCCAACCCCCTTTTTTGATAAGGGGTGAGAAAGGAAGGCGGTAGTTTACCAGAAAAAATAAAATTAATCCTCTCTCCCCTCCCAAGTCACCCACTAATCTCTAAAAGGAGTCGAACCTGGCACAGGTTAACTAACATGCGACAGTCTTAAAAGAACAATCAACATTAAAACGATAAGAGGAGTTGAATGCATGTCGAACAATTTAGAGAAGAAAAGAAAGTAAACGAAAAAACAAAATTAGCCTATAAATAAAAATAGTAACTTTAGCGGCATCTAATTAGGGAGTAATTACTCGCGGGGTTAATAAAGGTTCTAACCAAACAACGAAATAAGCGCATCAATTTTGACGTTTAGGGTAACTTGCTCATAACAGTCATAAAAAATTAGAACAACTAAATAAGGTGGAAAACACATAAGAAAAGCAGTTTTCGATTCGATAACTAAATTTATAAAAACAATTAACCTCAACATATGATATAACAAATGTGATGTTTAATATATGAGACGTATGTGGCAAATAGCGGAAGCTGATGCTAAAAAAAAACACACATAAGAAGGAAAATGCACATTATGCATGCGCATGTCAACAACTTTTAACTTCGAGATATTTGTATATATTGTTGTAATTGCTCGTTGGTCTGTCTGTCGCTCGTGTACGATAAACAGTTTAACAAAATTGTTTCGTGTTAAAGCTATCTGAAATGCTTAAAAATAAACCTATGAGGCAATTTTCTAGTTTTGCGGTATTATTGCGATCATCCGCGAGTTGAAATCCTGGAGTTTATCATGCTTCCATTGATATTCAAAATTGCGTTTGAAGCCAGAATACCTGCAATATTATGTGCCGAAAAAAATTCACGTAAGACTCTTGATGCAACCTTTCCTAATACATTGAATCTGAATTATAGGTGTGAACGTCGATTATTCTGATACTTCCTTATTAATATCCGCAATCCCTCCACACACTCTGATCCTTTCAGCAACAATAGCACTAAACGATCAAGAAGGAAATTTACCTAGACATATCTGGGGGTGAAAATTACTTGTGAATTAAAAGTGACCAAAGCGAAGCGGTTTCAGTTTGAAGTTTTTTCAACTGCAGAATGCGCTTTTACAAACTAATTTAGAATTTCTTTGCATTCAGCAAATTCTCTGGGCTCGCTCGTTTATTACGAAAGGGCAGCACAATTTTCTTTTAAAGCCGTTATTCGGTTTTATTTTGTAATATGGGCAGTAAAGAATTTGCACGGTTAGGAATATGCTCATCTATTTACTTTTAGATATTGATTTGAGAGTTACGGCAGCGTAAGTAATCCACCGCTATCCAAATGTTATCGTACTGCTCAAGTTTCACTTTTTAATTTGAACACATTATTGTTTCGAAATTTCCGAACGAACTTTCGGGTAAACTAAGCTTCAAGTATAGTACTAACTAATGCGCACTTTGAAATTGTCTGGTGTGGTATTTTATTGGAAATCTGATTACTAACAATTGCTCGAAGTCACATAAAATTCATCTAGCGGATACATGACGGTTTGTGTTTCTACCGCCATACTAAGACTGTACAAACTTATACGTAACTTGATTATTCTTTGACGTACTTTCCTCCGAATACACGGGGCACGGTGCATAAAATTTGTTTTCAACTAGGACAAAAGAGTGCATAAAAGTATATAACGAGGGTTAATTTATAATAACCTCACGCGCACTTCCCTGAACCGCTCACCCACGCGATAATGAATTCCTTCTAAAATATAACAACATAACCCGGTCGTATAAATTTTTGATCAAGCCTTCCACTGAATAATGCAAAATACAATACCTAAATTCACAACACTGAAAGCTTCATTTCCTGTTTGAACGCAGTAACTGCGGCGAACATGCAGTTCGGTTCCCGGGTCACGATCTGTTTTGTATTTCAATTTGGCTGTACAAATTTTGAGGGATCGAATCAAAACGTAAGCTCTGAGTGCAACGGTATGGGCACGATTCCCCTTCTATGTTAATATTAGTAAAGCTAAAGCCGCTTCTAAATTAAGTAGGGCTGCTTGCGGAGGTGCTGTGCTTATGGGTAAGTAATGGAGGTTACTTACGGAAAGCAATTGTACAATCACTTTTGAACAACTTAGTTCGACGAACGTAAAACGGCGCGCGCTTTCATTGTACGATACGACTGATCATACCGCCACGGAATCCGCGAACCATGTGCCGTCGCGACGCTCAGCGTCGAGTGTATACCACAAGAAAGAAGGAAGGTGGGGAGACGCCTGCGGTTGACGCTGATGCGACATTCGACATTTGATTCAGTCTACCTGTGGGAAATTACAATCATGATTTTTGATTGTCATACAAGTTTGCCCGAAGGCTGTACTTTGTTTATTTCATTTCGGGCGTTTAGTTTCCTCCTGATATATTTGACAATGTGAGCCCTAATATGAATTTATTAAACGAGTAGGTGTTAATTTATCTCGTAACCCGGTAAACTTAAGGTGTGTTATTATACCTTATACGTAGGCGCTGACACTGAGGTTGAGAAATAGTAGATTATATACAACGTGAAAATACAGGATTTATTTAAAAGCTCCGCCGACAGCGAAAAGCCTCAAAATTTAGGGGTATAAACAGAATCTACGTGATATTGTTCTGAATACGCATGAATAAGTAATGTTTACGATAAAGTTCTTATAAAAGATGTTTTATAAGTTAACAACAACCACTCGTTTAATATCTTCGTACACGCCGATCAATCAAAAATCACAATTTTCATGTGACAAGATGCATTTCAGTGAAATTGTCTTTCTTAACAGCATTTCCTTCAAACGGTGTTACATTTCATGTACTAATTCAAACTGTAAAAGGTTGAACCAAGTACTCTCATAAATATGGCTTAAACTGGAGCTAAACGGAAATCCTACGTTTTCTGCCGAATGGATGTATCTGGAATTTTACATTTACACCTCCTAATAGTTTGTGTTTTACTTTTACAGGCACGCTTAAAATGGGCGACTCAAACAGGAACGATTTGAACAAATATCCAAACAATTAATGTACTGTTGCCGTTTTTGAAAAATCCGATTCCAGAGGAATATACAGTGCATGCATTAGGTTTGACCGTTGACTAAAATATTCGGACAAACTGATGATGGAAACCGTCAATTTATTCATTCCTCACGTTTTAAAAGTATTGACATGTTCGTTTCGCTTTTTTTTAATTTTATTTTTTTTATCACTCTTCTTTGTGCGTAAAAAGTTGCAATTTGAGCATGTACCCGAAATTTTCTAATGTCTAGCAGTTTTAATATACTGAGGTACTATGATTTCTGAAGTGGTACATAAATTGTTTGAGGATTTATTCATGATTTGCTCGTACGTTGTTTACGGAACCAGATTTTCGAACTTGGGGTTGGTTTGGCTAAGTAATTATTCGTAAATGAGCTCCCGTTATCGACCATTCAGTAATCCTCTTCTGGCCACTTAAGGAATAGGGCACAGAATAGAATACACATTACCAAGTGATGTTTGAGGCGAAACAATCTTGTCAAGAAAATGGAAGGCATTCATTCGCAAAAACACGCTTCGCATCAACAGAAACTGTATAATGAATTAGGCTTACAATCAAGAAAGCGAGGTTAGCAAAACACGTGTAGGAGAAAGAAAAGAGAAGGAATGGAAAGGAAGCTATAAGCTCTTGAAGAGAACTACGCTCGCAGACAGATAAGAACCTTCTACCAGGAGGTTAAGAGAAGTGGACGAGTAAATAGAAATGAGCTGATTTACAGTACAGATAAGGAATGTAACTTGATTGGAGTAACGAAGGGAAGTAAGAAGATGGGCGTTTCGAAGAACTGTTAGGGAGTAGAAACGATACCAAAGATGGAGGGCTGGAAGAGGGTGAATTACAAACGGGGAACGGAGTAGTAGAATCCATCAATTCACGAGATCACCGAAATAATAAACAACTTGGAAAATAATAAAAGTGCAGGGGAAAACGGCATCCAAGCGGAGATAAAAGAAGAGGGAGGACGGCTGCTGAATGAATCTGCAAGCTAATAATAAGAATGTGGAAAGAAGAGGTAATGTCATAGCAGTGGAAGAGTGCGCTGCGGTGCCCAATATACAAGAAGAGAGGCAGGAGCAGGTGTGAAAATTAGAGAGGAATAGCACTGCTGGATGTAGCCCAAAAAGTGTTTGCAAAGCTAATAAGGGACAGAATAAGACCCTATACAAGCAAGGAAATCTTAGGACACCAGGGAGGATTCAGGGAAGGTAGAGCAACTGTGGACCAGTTCTTCACTGTCAAGCAAATAATGAGTAATAGTTATGAGCAAAACTTAGGACTGCTGTTTATAGACTCCAAGCAAGTCTGCTGTGAAAAGGTGAGGCGGTTTAAATATTTAAGCACTAAGGAAGATGAGGTAGGAATTAATATCAAGAGAGGCCAAGATAAGAGTGTTAAAAACAGTCATCCGCCCGGTAGTGCTGTATGGAAAGGAAACGTTGATAATCGATAAAAAGAAGCAGGCGAAACTGGACATATATGGGAAAGGAAAGTACTGAGAACGATATATGGAGGAGTAAGAAACAATGAAGGAGAGTAGGAAAAACAAATACGGAATTAATAGAAAAGTGCGGGCAACCCGGCATATTCCAAATAGTAAGAGCACAACGTGCAAGACGGCTGAGACGCGTAGCAAGAATGGCAGAGACCAGACATGCCAACAGAGTGTTGGGAGAGGGAAGAAAGAAGAGAAGGGGTAGACCAAGAAGGAAATTGCTTGTTAGCAGTGAAAGAAGGTCTGAGAATGCAAGGTATTGAGGACTGGATAGAAATAGCAGCAGACAGGACCTGATGGAAGAAAATAGTTAGTTGATTTTGTTTTTTATTAATTTTGTGATATAGACATACATGGAATGAGAGATTATTTTGTAAGCCAAAGACTGCAAAGGCCATAGTATAATAGTGAGCTTATATTAACTATAGTGATTTAATAATCTGCAACGAAATAATTCGTGTGTAATGACGACTAATACCAGAAGCGTCGCACGCTTCGACACCAACGTAGCCATAGAGCAGAGCCCCGCTATTACCAACCTGGGTCAGCAAAACTGATAAGAAACCAAGAACACGAAAATGTTTGTTGTATTATGCACAACCGAATTTAAGATCTGGAAGGTGCGCTATTAAATAATTGGTATTATTACATTAATCTCAATAACAATGTGGGTTGTAGTAGGTAGTCATTAATTAAGAAGGAACTGTCAGTAAGAGCGCTTCACCGTCGATCATTTAATTAATTTTTCCTACCTAATTTTTGGATTTATTTAAAACATTTGAAATTTTTACTTCAAGAAGGGAGACATAGCTAACCTTCCAAATTTTATTTTAAAGCAATTCTCTTTGCACCCTTTCAATCTTTGTAAATTCTACAAGAATCATTTTATCTCTTTTAATTCCCAGTTCAAATGGATTCCTCTCATCGAACCCTTAAATCTTCCTAATCTAAATGTCTCTTACAGGATTTTTTCATAATTCTTTCTTTTAATAAATCTTCAGTAATGTTTTTCATCTTTATAATATTTCTAATTCTTCTTGAATTCGAGTCGTTAATATTTTTGAGTTCTAAATCGTTTGTCTTTGTATTATCTTTTCTTAGTTCACAAATTAATAATGTCTTTTAGATTTTTAATTGCAACATTTCGTGAATTGCAAATTTACAGAATTTACACTCTGTT